CCCTCTGTTTATGGAGTCTGCCAGTGTTATGTTTCTTTGTCCAGTGGTAACAAGACAAATCTCACAGGCAGTGTTGGAAGAAGTACTCAGATCCCTTACTTAACTAAAAATAGCAGTACAACAGTGTAAAAAAAAACAAACTCTGTTATAGGTAGAAGTCCTGCATTCAAAATGTTAGTTAAGTAAAAGTACAAACGTACCAGCATCAATAAATACTTAAAGTACTAAAAGTAAAAGTGCTCATTATGCAGAATGGTACATTTCACATTAATGTACTTTATATTATTGAATTACAATTACTGACGCATCACATTTAACGTTGCAGCTGGAAAGTTTAGTTTTACTTCCTCTAATGTGATTTGATGTGCAGTAGATGAAGGAACTTTACAGGTAACACTTCATGTTAATGTAACCTCATTTCTTGACCATACAACACAGCCTTAGTCCATGGAAGTCTCCATCCGTTTTGTCTCCCATTTCATAGTAACTAACACTTATTTGAATCACTTATAAAATCAATACATATGTCCGTCCTGCTTCTTGGCAACTGGTCTCTGTAAGTAGCTGATTAATTTTGAGGGGTGTACAAACCCCAGCAGATTATAGGATTAAGGATGAGGTCTGTCACCTATCAGGTGACTCACCTGTTTGACAGCATCCAGCAGCCTCTCCAGGAGGTGTTGTCTTTTGGTATCAGTCTGCTGAGTGCCTGTAGAGGCAAACACATACAAACAGTTAAGTCATTAAACAACTTAATACAAACTCAAATTCCCACTTGATTCTTTGTTACTGTATTAAATGTCCAAGAGGAGATGAAGTAAATTAACATTTTACTGACTAAAATTAAGTGGATGACCAATGACTGATAATCAAAACAGTAATCAGCTGATTAGGATTCTGCTTTTTCTTCAGAAGATGTTCACAGCCAGGCCTAACTCAACAAGACAACACTGCTTTAATGTGCTACAGTGGTTACAGCTTGAGCATTTATTTCCCTGACTCACATCTTTACTGTTAGAGATATTAACCAGGGGCTTTCCACAATCAGGAAACACGCTGGACCAGCTCTGGCTCAGTGCTTTGCCAAAAGCCTCATGTACAGTGGCAGATAAGCAACCACTTTCGCTTGCACCCACATGTTTACATGGGACTCAAGCTAACCACAGACTGCATAAAGCCCAAAGACACTGACTTTTCATGTTGGCTTGCCCCTTCAATGTTCAAGTGTTTTGGGGGTTGTCACAGTGGTGGTGGAACAGTATGTGGTTCAGTGGTGGTGCACTTAGTCATGCGTTGCACAGATGTATATGAAAAAGGCGTTAGAAGTTACAGGCTTAAAGTTAAAGGCTCAGAGAATAGTGATGAAGGGCTTTAATTTTCTATGGAACAACGGCCGTGCAGCGTAATTGACCTCGGGTAAAGAGGGGCCACTGGCTGCACGGAGAACCAGCTGCAGGGTCAGTTTATGGCTGAGTGGCAAACGGAAAAGCTATGAAAAACAAGACTCACCGTTCATTCTGACAGCCCGGCTCCGGCAGCAGTGACATCCGAGCTAAACCGTTCTCCACTGACACGCCTCATCCATTTCTCTAGCGTT